TTCTCTCTCTCCTTCTCTCTCTCTCTCTCTCTCTCTCTCTCTCTCTCTCTCTCTCTCTCGCTCTTAAACATTATTGCAAGGGATTTTAAAATTAAAATTAAAAATTGTTTGTTCCTTTGCAAAAAATTGTAATTAATTTTATTATTAATTAATACCATCTTACCGTTTCTGCTGATGCTGCTGGTGCTACTGGTACCGCTGCTGCTGCTACTGTTGCTGCTGCTGCTACTGTTGCTGCTGGTGCTACTGCTGCTGACGTCACAATCAATTCCTTTGACTTACTGAAAAAAAAAAAAAAATTCGATTTGATTTTTTTTGTTAATAAAAAAAATTATTAAATAAATTCAAGGTGTTGATTATATTGTACGTCGCCGTACGTTTTCATAACAAATTTTTTAAATAATAATAATAATAATAATAATAATGATTCCCACCCGGAAATATTTATTTTTTAATTAAATATAAGAGGTCGCATAGAATACATATATAAACGCGTAAGTACCCGCGCACGCACACACACAAGTTTGTCAATTCGTGAACTTTTGTAAACGTATAAAAAAATTATTTGTTTTCTATTCTTTCTTAGTATTCATTTGCATGATTTTAATCAAAGTACTTATAAACAATTAGACAAACAAACAAAAACAATCAAACAAACAAACATGAACAAAAACAAATGTGAAAATTTTATTTTATGTTTTGTGTTTTTTTTTTATTTTATCATAACAACTTATGGAAAATTAAGTAAGTTTAAAAATCAATAAATATTAACATTATGACGAATATTATGTATAAAATGTTGTGAATTTGTTTTATTATTATTATCATCATCGATTAATTAATTAATTAATTAAATATTTGTTATAATTTAAACGTTATCCAGGTGATTATTTAACGATATGCAACGTAACGGATCCGGATTTGGAAAAATGCGTTATAAATTCAACGAAAAATTTAATAAAAAAATTAAAAACCGGTAAAAATATTTTATATTATTATTATTATTATTAAGGGAAAAAATTCTTATTGTTTGTTTGTTTTAAAAGGTTTACCAGAATACGACATACCACCTATCGAACCTATGAGAGTACCAATTGTAGATTTTCAAAAATCAGGTATGGGATTAACGTTGATAATAAAAAATACGTCAGAGGATTTAGGAACGAACGAATTAAAATTTAATAAAGTCAAGTAAAGTATTATAAACCGGAAGTGAAGGCAGACATAAAAGAAAATTTTATGACATACTAAAAAAATTTTTTTTTCTTTTTTTTTTTTCCCGGTGAAAAGTGTTAATCCGAAAGAATACGATTTTGAATTTGAAACAATTTTGGGAAAACATTCAATGACGGGTACCTATGCAGTAGATGGAAGGTTCATGATGTTTCCAATCATGGGTCAAGGAAAAACAACAATAATTCTACGTAAGGCCCCCCTTTTTCTATTTTTTAATTACGATTTTTAAATTAGAGGAAAGATGGTGGTGGTGGTGGTGGTGAGGGGAAAGGAGGGAAGGAAGAAGAGGGGGGATT